TTTAATCTCTTTCCTTCTTCCTTCAACAAAACTTTCTCAACAAACCACAAACCGCAGGTTTATTGGGAACATAATTATTAAGTAAAACAAAAACAAAAAAATTAAAGCGCCAATCGAAGAGCATAAGCACAAATACTATGATGCCTTTAGATTGGAATACTCTTTCTGACTAGTTTTTTTATCAACCGTCACTAAATCGATTTTTGCCTCAAGATACGATCCTATTTTGTGATGCCGCAACCACCATTCCGCTCAGATTCCGAAGTCTTGCGCATCGTTTGGTTTTCACGTTTTTATCTCACCGCAGAGGCCATCCTACCGCTAACAACTTATATTTTTTCTATGCACTATTATTCGACTAATTTTTTCATGTAAATATAATTTCAAAGAAGATGAATGTAAAGTACAGAGGTTAGAAAAAGAATGGGATGCCCATGAAATTAAAGCGTGGAATAATAGACAAACATGATAAAAAAGATGAAAGTTATAGACTTGGACAACGTCCAATGTAATCGCTGTTACTTTGTGTATCATTACTCCATGGGGGGGGGGGGAATAAAAGAGGGTTAAAATTATTTTAGATACCTAACACGGGATCCTTTAAAAGAAAAATCTTTCGTTTTTGTGGTGTGAAGCAGAACTTGCTGGACGCATTGTTACAGATAATATAATTTGCGAAAAGGTATAAGTAACTTTAAGAAATGGAGTGTTTTTTTCTGAGGGAATGAGTTAGTCGAAATTATTCATTATACTAATTTCAATTGGGAAAATTGATTTAATATGCGAACATTTTAATTTATGAGTTCCGTTAAGGAACAAATACTGGGTGTAAATAAAGTTGAGGCAACATAGATATAAAACATTTTTATTGAATTTCCAAGTAAAATTACATTACATTTCTTCGATATAACCACTTGCAAAAAGTTTAGTACTTCTTACCAAATATCGGGAATGACAATAACGGAGCCTCCTACTGCTCTGACCACAGGTGTCATGTCATACAATAAGATGCCTCGGAGATGTTCTTACAACTTAAGAAAGAGTTCAATGTCACAAGGATTCATGCCAAGTGTGCACGGAGGGTGTACCAAGACCTCCCAATGATATCGTTGTAGTACATTGGTTATACTGAATGCCAATATGATAGAAAAATTGTCTTGCAGTAAACTTGGACATTTGTGAATGATGCTCTAGAAATGGGTGATAGTTGTCCGTATTAACAGTTTCTCCTTCAGGTGCTGCATGCGTTCTTTGATATACGCCGCACCGTTTGATGAGGCCAATTTTTGTGAATAATTCTCGGAGAGTCCATTGACAGTCTATGGCAGGAGTTGACAAACCGCGGCACTTCAGTCTTATGTCTTTATGAATTATTAAAAATTATACATACTAAATACTTTTCTCTTTCTCATTTATAATTTTTCAGTGAAAAAATTTATTTCTAAAGCAGTAAAAGTCCAATTTATTTGTAAAAATACCACCACGGGAAGACATACTTTTAAGTGATTTCAAGCAAAGTTTAATAAAAAGTGTTGAAATGACTTTTGTATCCAAGAACACAACCAAAATCTATTTTAATTATTAATGTAAACGTAAAATTCAAGAATAAAGCTCTGGCGGTGTTATAAAAGGTCGCTCGCACTTTATGGAAACGATTTTGTAATTTATTTTCTCGTTTGCGTTTTGAGGTAAAACTTTGTTGTATCTTCTGTATTGGTACAGAATTTCTTTCACGAAACTGGAAATTTAAATTCACAACATTATGAAATTTTCACGATGGTTGTTCTATACAACAAAAGACAACAAAAATAAAAATACCTTCCGTAGTTCTTAGTGTTCGAAGAAATGTAAAATACCACTTTGGATAAAATTTTATTCAGACATAAAAAAATATTAATT